TAAGTAAGTAAGTCAGTAAGTAAGTAAGTCAGTAAGTAAGTAAGTAAGTAAGTAAGTAAAGTAAGTCACTAAGTAAGTCAGTAAGTAAAGTTTTATTTATAAAGCACCTTTCACAGAAATATATTCACAAGGTGCTGTACAATCATTAACAATGTAAAAATGGTGGAAAGATAAAACGAAACAGAATAAAACATAATAAAACATAAGCAATGTAATGAAACATCAAATCTAGATTAAATTTAACATATGACAAATATAAAAGTTCTTAGTTTGAAAATAGAGTTCTGGAGTGGGAGTTAATCTGCTGGACGGATCTAGTTACTGAAACAAGAATCAAATTCATTTTATCACTGAAACTGTAAAATTAGTCAGTTTTATTCTTTCTGAAGTTTCAGCAACTCTTGAAATGATTAACTACATCCAAAATATTTGTTTAATTGTTCAAAGCTTCTCCAGTCTTTGGTTAAAAAACACTTTTCATGGGTCATATTTACTGTGGGCTGCTGGTGGAAGCCAAGATATCAGCTTCATGAAAGCAAAAGACCAACTGAAACCCCAAATCAGCTCTTTTCAAACAGCTTTTTGCAGCTGTGGGCCATGTTCTTAGTTTTTTTTTTTATTAAGCTTTTTGTACATTCAATACATTACATGTATTGAAACCTTATTAACTTGCAGCTTTGATTGCTTTCAGGATCTATGAACAAAATAAACAACAAAATCAAAGTACTGCAGTGTAATACACTACATCAAACACCTGCGCTCTTCACTGTCAGGTGAATAACAGAACTTTCCCCACTACTGAGCAACAGTCATGCATCCATTAATGATGCATGACTCAACTAATGATGGCAACATAAACCTAAATAATCATTATTGTATTTGATGTGGTCTTTTTAGTGTCTCATTAGTAGATATGATGCAAAACCAGAAAAAAAATGCATTTTCCAAGGTAAATTGACCAAAATATGGTTTCTGAACTGCTATTATGTTGCATTTCACAACTAAACCCACAATTAAATAAAACAGAACCTGACAAAAAGTATAAATAGAATATATTGCTTTGAGATAAAACAATATTTGATGTGACATTTACCAATGAACAACAGCTTTTTTTTTGCAAGAGAGGCAAGAACAGATTTAAAGAACCTGGTAAAATAACAGGTGTTAGTGGAGATAATTGTGATTAGGCAATGTTTCTAAAAACTGTGATCAACCTAAATGAGTTTAATGAAAAAGAAAAACACATCACACATTGAAAAATCAAACCAAAAAAGAACAGCTTAGCAGCTTCTTATACAAAACTCAATTATCTGACAAATTAAACCCAACCTGAGTGGTGCTGGAAGACGTCAATCTCTTATTAGTGCTTTCAATAAAACCAAAAACTGGTCCAGGCTTCAGGTAAAACCTCTCATATTACAGATACAACATGAGTGAGTGATATACAGTATATATATATATATATATATATACATAATGCTTATATTTTAAAATACTGTATACAGTGGGGAAAATAAGTATTTAGTCAGTCACCAATTGTGCAAGTTCTCCCACTTAAAAAGATGAGAGAGGCCTGTAATTGACATCATAGGTAGACCTCAACTATGAGAGACAAAATGTGAAAAAAAATTGGAGAAAATCATTTTGGCTGACTTTTAAAGAATTTTTTTGCAAATAATGGTGGAAAATAAGTATTCGGTCAATAACAAAAGTTCATCTCAGTACTTTGTTGTATATCCTTTGTTGGCAATGACAGAGGTCAAACGTTTTCTGTAAGTCTTCACAAGGTTGGCACACACTGTTGCTGGTATGTTGGCCCATTCCTCCATGCAGATCTCCTCTAGAGCAGTGATGTTTTGGGGCTGTCGGCGGGCAACACGGACTTTCAACTCCCTCCAAAGGTTTTCGATGGGGTTGAGATTGGGAGACTGGCTAGGCCACTCCAGGACTTTGAAATGTTTCTTACGAAGCCACTCCTTTGTTGCCCTGGCAGTGTGCTTGGGATCATTGTCATGCTGAAAGACCCAGCCACGTTTCATCTTCATTGCCCTTGCTGATGGAAGGAGGTTTGCACCCAAAATCTCACAATACATGGCCCCATTCATTCTTTCATGTACACGGACCAGTCGTCCTGGTCCCTTTGCAGAGAAACAGCCCC